CAGCAACGGGTGAGTAGCCTGGGATTTGGCAGTGGTGCTGCTCTGGGTGTTGGTGAAAGAGGGGTGTCTGGTTGTTAACATCTGTGGGAAGAGAGGGTTTCCAGGAGACTCTCACAGGGAGACCTTTCACGACTTGGGGGAGCAGATAAAGCGGGTGTCTAAAATGCTCTGCCCATGACTGTCGCTGGTGCTTCTTACAGCCTCTTGTACTGGTTGCCTGGGGGGCATCACTTGAAATGGCCAGAGTAGAGCCAGCCTGGGTGGCCCGCTGGTTGAAGATGAGGAGAAGGGGAAAAAGGAGACCTTGGCCCACCCCTTCCAGTGCCCCCTGGCTTCACTGGGCAGAGCCCACCCTAGGCAAGGACCACCTGTGTCCAAGCGGGAGTATACAGGTGAGGGGAACTGGTGGTTGGCTGGCACTTTGGGCAGACCTGGACTCAGGGAATGAGGGAGGGGTGACTTCTCTTCCTGACTCTCTCACAGGCCCTGGCTACAGCCTTTGCCCTCCGGAGTTGGCGCCCCCCTGGGGAAGGGATTAAGTCCTGGGGTCCAGAGTACACTCTTGGAGCGAAGAGGAGGGGACTTCGAGCTGCCCTTGGTTCCCTGCCCACAGCCCCTGCCACCAGGGCTCCTCCTCACTCTTTAGGGATCAGCAAGCCCGTCACAGACAGCCCAGGGGAGGCCGGTGATACCCCCCGTGCTGGCATTTGCTCGGAAAGGTGGAGAAAGCAATAACTCCCGACCAGGGCATGGAAGCCCAGGGGGTTGCATCTGCCCGGGGCATCCCTCTCCAGCGCCCCGGGCAGCCCCTTCCCGGCCGGCCCGGGCTCCCACTCCGCGCACCGAGGAAGCGGCGTGGGCAGCCACTGCCTTGACTTTCCTGCTGGTGCTTCTCACGCTGGCCACGCTCTGCACACGGCTGCATCGAAACTTCCGTCGGGGGGAGAGTATCTACTGGGGGCCGTCGATAGACAGCCAGGACACGGTGGCAGGTGACGGCCCCTCCCCCTGCTCCCTCTCCCCCAGGGCCTTGGCCACCCATTCCCCTTGCTCTTTCTCCCCAGGCCCCTGGCCTCTCCCCGCTCCCGCCCCCCAGTTCCTCTTCCTCCGGCTGTCCCTCTCCTTGCTCCCCCCTCCCAAGCCCCTGGCCGTCCCCTCCTCCTCCTCTGGCCCCTGGCGTCCCCAGGGTGCTACTCACCCACCGGCTGCCTGCCTCTCCCCCCCCAGCCGTGCTGAAGCGGAGACTGCTGGCCGCCGGACCCCGAAGACCCAAGCGCTCCCGTCGGAGACCACTCCTCCCGCCCGGCCCCGACCCGGACGGAGGCAGCCCTGGCCCCGACGGCGGGGACGGTGACAGCGACAGCTCCTCGGACTGAGGCCTGGCTGGCCCTGGCCACCGAGGAGGAAGGGAGGGAAGGCAAGGGGCGGCCCCGAGCCTGGCTCCTCCCGGCCTGGGGTCACCAGTCCTGGGGTGGCCCTTGCCACGTGGACGGCGCCCAGCTGGGAGCCCCTGCTGGCCTGTCGGGGCGGTGCAGGCTCCTCCCTGGGCGTGACCCACTCCCTGGATTTCTAAGTAAATTATTTTAGTAGATTCCCGTGGCTTTCTGGTCTTCTTGGGCCCTTGGACACGTCTGCCAACCCCCACGCCCACGCCCACCCCGGCGCCCTCCTTCATCTGGAGCCACACTAGAAACCTGTGTCTAAAGTGAGGTTGTTTTTTGGTTTTGTTTTTTGGCTCAGACCCGTGATTTATTGGTGGAGGGTACTCCTGGTGAAGACAGTCCCTCTGTCAAGGCAGATAGCCAGTTTTTGCCGATTTTTATAGTTGCCCGAGCACTGAGTCAAGTGACCCGCCCAGACTCTCTCAGCCAGTGTGTGTCCAAGGTGGATCATGAACCCAGATCACCCCGACTACGAGGCTGGTGGCTGGCTCTGTGCCTGGGTGGGGATGCAAGTTTAGGTTCCGGGAGCTTCTTGCTACTTTCACAGAATTTGGTGTGGACAGGACCTCAGAGACCATCTGATCCTCTACTCGCCGGCCAGATAACGGCCACTCTTGGACAGCTCCAATTGCTAGAAAATTCCTGTATCAAACCTGTTTTTTTCTGGCTAATTGTTATTTCTATCTTGTTTTTACACAATAGCTAGCATTTCTACAGTGCTTTAAGGTTTGAAAGCCCTTTACACACCATATTTAATCCTCACAACCACACTGGGAAGTAGGGGCTATTACAGATGAGGAACTGAGGCAGGCAGATGTTGTGACCTGCCCAGGGTCACCAAGCCCTAAGCTACTACTGAGGCTGTATTTGAACTTGGTTCTTCCTGAGTCTGGGTCCAGAACTCTACCCATTGGGCCATTTAGCTGCCTCAAAGTCATTTAGACTCCTCCCCTACCCAGAGCCAAGTCTTGTAACAACGAATAAAAAGAAAGGGGAGGAGAAAGTGGGGGGTGGGGTGGGGGTGGGGAGAGAAGCAGTTGAGCAAAACTAACCCATGCTAATACCTAGGGAGGCAGTGTGTGTAATATTCTTCACCCACAGGCCCCCACCTTTGTAGAAAAGTGCACTTTCTCCCCCGGTCTTCTGAAGTTAAGATTGCTCATTCTAATTACTGTTTTCCTTTTTCACTTTTTGGTGGTGGTTTACACATTCAAGCCAAAATTTGCCTCTTTTCGAGGGCCACTCACCCCCAGCTCCTTGTATAGTCCCTAGGGGCCCATAGCAACAATAATTACCATTTTTTCCTCCCTTAATTGACCTGTGATTTCTCCGGAATGCAGATAAACATTTCTCCAGCTTAAAATCTTAGAGACTAAATAAATTATTTAGAATGACAGCTTTCAAGGTAGGGCTTGAACCCAGGCCTTCTGGCATCTGAGGTTAACCCTCTGTTGGTTAACATTCCCTATAGTGTTTGCAAGCTTGCAGAGTGTTTAGAATGTTTTCTTTGGACTTCACAACTCCTGTGACTTAGCCACCACAGGATTATCTCAATTTTACAGATTTGGAGACTGGAGTGAAGTCACTTGCCCTCTCTCTCTCTGGAGTCATTAGTTTTCCACATAATGCCCCTCGGAATACTTCAAGACATCATGTTTCTTATCTCCCCCTTTCAGATTAAACAGTCTGTTCACCCTGTTTTCTGATGGTAATATCTTGTGGTTCTTCACCATACCAGTTACTCTAGTTTATTTTTTATTTTATTTTTGAAAGGCAATCGGGGTTAAGTGACTTGCCCAGGGTCACACAGCTAGTAAGGGTCAAGTGTTTGGTCTGAGGCTGGGTTTGAATTTAGGTCCTCCTTACTTCAGGGCCTGTGCTCTAGCTGCCCCCTCTCTAGTTTATTAAAACCTTTCCTCAAACTGAACCTAGCACCAGAGAGAAAGCCTAACCAGGCCAGGGGACAGCAGAACTATCACCAGCTGCCATAGAAAACCTAGCTGCAATGGAAGGTCCTTTGACTAAGTAGGGAGATGGGGCATTGGGCACCAGGAGTACTCTCCCAGGTGACAGTTTCTGAAATTCTGCCACAATTTAGGGAATACCATGAAAGGAATGTCAGCTCAGAAGAGGTGCTGAGTCAGTCAGCTGACAAGATTAATGGGTAAAGGGATGGACAACTGGAGTGCTGCATTGGAATTTTCTTTAACATTAAAGGTAATGTTATTTTAAAAAGAAAATAAAACAGCTCAGGATCCTTTCAGGTCTAGAGGAAGAAATCTTAACCAAACAGGTAGAGATTATCACAAAAGATAAACGAGGTGGTGCAGTGGATAGAGCAACGGTCCTGGACTCAAAAAGATCCCAGTTCAAATGCAGCCTTAGACATTCACCAGCTGTGTGAACCTGGGCAAATCACTTAGCCTGTTAGCCTCAGTTTGTTCATCTGTAAAATGGAGATAATAATAGCACTCACCTCCCAGGCACAGGGTAATCACCATATAAATGTCAGTGATTATTAGAGACTGGACCTAAGATTGGCATAAGGAGCTCCTAACAAGGAATTTCCCCTCCTAGTACAGAATGTTGGCACCTTCTCTGTGACCACGGTTATAAAAAATTGAAAAGTTTTTGAAGAAAATTTGTGATCTAACAAAAATCAATGCAGCTACCATAACAAAATAAGCTGTTGATTGGAGAAATAAAATCCTGGCATCAGATATCTCTGATATCCAAGATACATAGGGAAATAATACAACATATAACCCTGAAAGCTTCAATAGAAATTCCTCAATGGAAAAGCGGCTAACAGGTATGAATAGTTCTTAAAAGAATTACAACTAAGAACTGCACAAAAGATTGTTCTAAATCATTAATATGAGAAATGCAAATCAATTTGTGGTTAACCTATGGGAAAAGAGCAGAGGTTCTTATCCCAGGATCTGTGAACTTCTTTTAATATTCTGACAACTATTTCCATATAAATGGTTTCCTTGATAAATCTATGTATTTTAATTTATGCCATTAACAACATGATTCTGAGTAGATTTAGACTTCTTTTAGACATAGACTTCACCAGCCTGCCCCCTAAGGGGACCATGACACCAAGAAGGTGAAGGGGCATGGAAGGGGTTCAGATTTGCACTAGCTGAATGTCCACATCAGTAAGCTCACCTGGGAGTCTCCTGACTTTTGTTTGAAAAGACAGTCTGCTCTGGGAGGGGGACTGGGTCACGATCAGTTACTACCCAGTATGCAGTAGGCTTTTTTTTGGGGGGGGCCTAGGCAATGGGGTTAAGTGACTTGCCCACAGTCACACAGCTGGAAAGCGTTATATGTCTGAGACCAGATTTGAACTCAGGTCCTCCTGCCTCCAGGGCCGGTTCTCTATCCACTCCGCCACCTAGCTGCCCCTGCAGTAGGTTTTTTGTTCATGGGATGAGGTGCAGCAGTACTGAAGAGGTGGGCACTTAGCAGAGTGCTCTGAGTGTCCAAACGTTCTGAGCGTTTGGACAGATTTCCAGTGCCCACCCTCCACCTCCAAGTATGAGGCAGACAGAATGGTCACTTATTTATTTTTGATACAAATGTACATGACACACATCTGACAGTCAGCCCACCCACCACCACACAGACATGGCCAGCCCCAAATGGGGTGGAGTGTTTGGGGTGAGGAAGGAGAGGAGCTGGAGAATCTCCACCCTGCTAGGACAATATGGCATGCCTCTAGAGCCCTGGCAAGGGGCAGGTGCCCAGGGGGGGACCAGGTGCCCAAAACTTTGGATCCTGCGCCCCACACTGGGCCCTCAGGATGGTTAGGGGCTTGTGAAGGGACTGAGATGGCAAGGACTTTGGCCGAGCAGATGGGTTAGGGACCCCGGGGGAGCCAGCCCCAGGCTTAGGGTCCTTCACTCTTCTGGCAAGGCAGAGTCATTCAGACATCCTCCTCCGGCCTCCCAAGTGAAGTGGGGCAGGGCATTTCAGCTCCTCTTCACAGAAAGGGATGCTGGGGGGGGGGGAGAGTAGGGTGACAAAGGGGTATGGGGCTGGGGATCGTAGCTGGTATAACCACAGCTCATCAAGTTGGCAGGCTCTGCCCAGGGCAGGGAAGAGGGAGGTTCCAGGGTAGTGTCATCTCCATCTCTGTCCTCATTTGGTCCCCTTCCTTCCCCCCCGACCCCAATCGAAAACTCCAAAATCCCAAAGGGAGCAGGCTTGCAGGACGGCACCGCCGCCCACTCACTCACACTCAGGCACACAGGGACACTCAGTTACCACAAAGTTAAAATTAAGAAAAACAATTTCCAGTGTTTGCTGCTGGGAGCCCCCAGGCAGGAGCTGAGCCCACACCAGGGGCAGGGGCCGTTTGGCATTAGAGAGAGAGAGAGAGAGAGAGAGAGCAGCTGAGGGGCTGGTGGCTACAGGGAAGGGGATATCCACTAAGACTATGTACAAGGTGGGGGGAATGCCCCCCGCTCAGTCCACGGGAGGACTAAACTGGCTCATGGGGGTGGGTGTGCGTGTGTGGGGAGCGGGCCCCAGCATGGAGTGGCCCTTCCCCCTGATCCTTTGCCGAAGGAGCCTAAGGAAGCTGGGGAAGGAGGGGGCCGGGAGCCGGAGGGAGCAGTCCTCACGTCCTCACCCCCACCCCGGAACTCTGCTAGGGAAAGGTCTTATTTACAATTGGGAGGGGGGGGCTGGGCCCCCTGCTCAGACTCTGTCCCTGAGTCCCACCTCCCTTCCAGTGGGCAAAGAGTCCCTTGCCACCCTCCTCACCCCCCAGGCCTTCCTGGGAGGGGGGAATGAGGGAGTGTCGGACCCCAAGGCAAGCACACCAGCTCTAAGGGCACTTGTGCCAGCGGCTGCTCGGGTGGGGAGGAGCGAGTGTGGCCGGGGAGGGAGAGGCAGGGAGGGCCCCTCGGGGAGGGCGGGAGGCGGTCACTGCTTCTTCTCTCTAGTGGTGATGGTCACCAGCTGCTTGGCCGCCTTGGCGATGTCGTAGGCGCACTGAATCACCTGCTGCGTGAGCAGCTGGAAGTCCACGGGGGCGCCGGGGTCAGGGGGCGCCGTCTTGCGGCATTCGCTCTGCAGCCTGCACGCGCTGGCGTTGAGAAGTCGGAGGGAGCTGCGCACGGGCTCCAGAGAGGGTCTCTGGAGGAGGAGAGAGGGTGGGGCGCTCAGGAGCTGCTTCTGGACCACCCGCCCAGCTAGCCTTTCGGCTGGCCAGAGAGACCCCTCGAGATGACGATGAGACAGGCTCCTCCCCAAGGGACTGCCCTACCTTCGGGAAGAGTGAGGCCATCTCCGTCACTGCCACGTGAATCTTCTCTGAACAGGGCACGAAGCTGAGAGGGAGAGGGAGAAGGAGAGGGGAGAGTTCACCCCCGAGAGAGTTCTATTTGTGCGCGTGTGTGTATGTGTATGGTGAGTGTGTGAGTGTGTGCGTAAGTATTGTATGTGTGTGTGTATGTGTATTGTGAGTGCATATAAGTATGTATGTATGAGTGTGTGTATTGAGTGGCATGAGTGTGTGTGTGTGTGTGTAAGTGTGACCATGTGTGCATGTATATTGTGAGTGTGTATGTGTGTATGTGTTCATGTGAGCGTATGTGTATATGTATGTGTGTGTTTTTGTGAGTGTGTATGAGTATATATGTGTATGTGTGTGTATGTGTTTGAGCATGTGTGTATATGTACTGGGAGTGTGTGAGTGTATATGTATGCGAGTTTGTATGTGTGTATATGCGTTTGAGTGTGTGTCAGTATGTATGTGTGTATGTTTCTGTATACATCTGTGTGTCTGTGTGATGTTACCCCCACTTTTTCCCCTCCTTCCCCCATAATGCCACACTGCATGTGCAGGGCGCCACCCCTGTGGTGGCCCACTCTCCAGGGTACCTGTCATGCTTGAACTCCTGGGCAGCCCGCAGTAACTCCTGGATATTCTTGGTGACCTGCTCTGTTTTCAAGATGACATCCTCTGTGCTGGGTAGGCCAGGGTCCAGCTCTCCATCCAGGCTCTCCAATTCAGAGTGAAAATCTTCATCTTTTCCCAGATCCAAGAAGCGTTTTCCTTCCAGCCTACCGACAGGACTACAGGTCAGAGCTCCTCATCCCTACCCTCCCTACAACTTCCTCAACCCTAACCCTACCGCCTCAGGGCCTTGTAATTCCCCACCCCCACCCCCACTCCCCACTTCAAGCCCTGGGCTGGATAAGAAGAGCCCAGTGCTGGAAAGGGCCTGAGAGATCAGAAAGTCCAACTCCCTTATCTTACAGATGAGGAAACCAAGGCTCACATGAATAGTAAAGGTCAGAGGCAGCATTTGAACCCAGGGCTTGCCAACTCCAGGATAGATGGGGATGGTAGGGGTGCTCACCCAAGCAGCGGTTCCCCACTCTGAGTGTTATCATAGTCACTGTCAGCCCCACTGCCATGGCGGGAGAGTTTGCTCTGGAGGACAGAGGGGAAAGACTGGTCAGAAATTGCCTCCCCAACCCCCCACCCCCCCACCCCTGCATCCCCTCCTCTAACAGGGTGGAGATGCTGGCCCGTACTGGCAAAACCAATGGATCCATTACCATGGCCCCCAGGCTCCCCCCAACCAGTGCAGCCACATTACCATGTGGCGGCCTCCGTCCTGCGTGCCGGACATCAGTGGGGAAGAAGGCGGGAAAGGTACAGATGAGGCCGAGACACCCTTGCGGATCTGGAACCCAGATCAGCAGCCGAATGAGTGCCGATTTCTTCTCCCTTTCCAGCGCCTCCCCCGCCCCTCCTCAGCACCACTGCTGCTCCAAGGCCATCCCCACAGCCAATGAGAGCTCTGCCACCATCGAGCCAATCCCTTCATTTTACAGACAAGGCCTGGGGGGCTAAGGTACCTACAGGATCTCAGATTTAGAGCTGGAAGGGACCTCAGAGGCCCCCATGTGACAGATGAGGAAACTGAGGCCCATGACGAAGGCGGCTTGCTCAAGGTCTTACAGGAAACCCCGTAAGGGGGATTTGAACCTGCATCCTCTGACTACAAAGCTTAGAGAAAAGCTCTTTCACTGTCTCCTTTCAAACTCCTGGGGAGGGCCCTGGATTTTAAATTCCTCTAACCCAAGGCACCACTTACCCGGTAGAGGCCCGTAGGGACGTGGACGGAGTACACAGAATCGTCCTCCAGCTCCTATGGGCAGAAACGGCATTGGCACACAGACGCCCGACCCCAACCCTCACCCACAGGGCATTTCCCACATACTCACACTGCCGTGGAAGGGCTGGAGCCGAGAGGCAAGCTCGTCACCGGGCTGGGCCCCAAAAGGCTTAAGGGCAGAGCCTGGCTCATACATGGAGAAGGCCTGGCGATCCCGGCGGTGGGCAGCCACACTTGCACCTCCGTGCGCGTGCTCTGCTCGCTCACTGGGCACGGGGGCTGTCGGGGCAGGGCCTGACTGCTGCCGGATCTGTGAGTTCTCAGACTGAAGCTTGTGGATCTGGGGACGGGAGGGTAGAGGTCACACACATGTCCACACAGGGTGCTAGGCCCCAAAGCATGCCACCCCAGGCTCTCAGCGGGAAGGGAGGGAGTCACCCCTTAGCGGACAGCCCTCCGCATTTGCCCTCAAGCTGGGGCACGGGGCACAGACAGCTCTGTTCCCTGACCTCTCTCTGCAGCCTCCGCAGCTCGTCACTCAGGCTACTGTTGACCTTCATCAGCTGCTGCACTTTGGCCTCTGAGGTGGCCAGTGCCTTCTTGAGCTCCAAGTACTCCTGCAGAGTAACTGCCCCATCTGACAGGTCTGAGGAGTCCATGCTCTGGGGAGGAGAGAGGACAGGAAGCTGTCAGCAGGCCTCCCCACCCACAGCCCCAGGTGCCCTCCCTGGGGAACGGCTTCAAGAAAGGGCAGAGTCCAGCTACGAGGGAGAGGCTGGAAGGAGAGATTCAGAATTGGAAGAGCCACCCCCAGGAGGAATCAAGAAATGTCGGGAAGAGAGGTGAGGAGAGGAGAAAAAGGGAGGGACAATTATCCCCCAGAGCCCTGAGTGGACCCTCGGTCTCCTTGGCCCCTAGGGCTTCCTTGGGCACAGACCCTGGCACGGTTGTTGCGGGTGGCACCGGCACTGCGCAGGGGCTCCTGGTCTGTGTCCTCGTCGGAGGCCACACTGTCGTAATCGTGCTGGTCGTCCAAGTCACTCTGGCTGCGCTGGGAGTAGTCAAGGTTGTCTGAAGAGGCAAGGCAAAAAGCACATGGCCACAGCCCAGTGGCCCTCCAAGCTAGTCTGGCCCCGCCGAGCGAGCAGTGGGCACCGGTGGGCCCAGGCCTGGGTGAAGGGTCCTCGATGGGGGCAGCCCCCCCGGGGGACATGGGGAGCAGCCCCACCTAGTGTCAGGGAGAAGAGACCATCCCAACCTCATGCTATGCCCCCCACCCCCAATGCTGTCTGCTGATCTAACAGAGCAGGTGGTCCCTAGCCCCACCCCCTCCCACCTGTTGGACTGCTCAAGCTTTTGCCCTGCTGTCTTCGCTTGGCCTCGCTGAGGATGTCAATGATCAGGGTGGCAAACTCCCGGGCATTGAAGCGGGCAAGCTTCTGTCTCCCCTGCCAGGAGGAGAGAGACTCAGCATGAGTAGATGTCACCCCAGAGCAAGCTAGAACCTCCAGGAATGGGAGTAGGGAGGCAGTGGAAGAGGCCTGGAGAAGAGACTGGGGGCAGAGCAAAGACATGCCCTGCTGGGCGGGCCTGGCAGACACCCTTCAAATGACTGGAGAGATGGAGGTGGGGCTCACAGGCTGGTACACCCTGCTCCTGGAGGGGAGGCTCTCCCACCAGCCCCACTCCCCTTAAAGCCAAGGTGCCAGCCAGACTGGGCTGGGGAGGCAGCAAGGTTGGCATGACACCAAGCAGAAGCGTGCCAAGTAACGGCTTCGCTCAGGGCTGTCATGGGAGGGGGAAGGGAGAGGGGGAGAAATGCAGAAACCCAGCTTGAGGCTTTTCCCAGACCCCCAACCGCTGCCCAGCCTCCCTCCCCGGGCTCCGAATGCCCCTTCACCTGGTTTCGAGTGGCTGAGTACTCTGGGTTGACTGGGAGGAAAGGGACCGCGCTTCGCTCCGTCACCAGGGTGCTGTGGTTCTGGGTGGCCAGCCACACTGGGGAGGGGGGGGAATATGACCGTCAGTCACTGCTGAGGGCGGGTGGCTGCGATTTTAGGGACATGCCTGTGCTCTAGGGCCAGGATGGGGGCAGGGGAAGGGTGGCAGAGTTAGGCCCCAGAGCCAGGCAAGGCAGAAAAAGATCCGGGTGAGGGTGAGGCTGATGGGAGGGTATATGTGTGTGTGTGTGGGTGGGAACAGAACAGGACGAGGCTGTCCCTCCCTCCCTCCCTCCCTCCCTCTGCCTGCTCCAGCCTAGCATTTGGGTTGGAATGACTGTGGCTAGGAAGGAATGAAGGAATGGGGGGTGGGGTGGGGCAGGGGAAGAGCTGGAGAAGGAGCCAGGGAGAACAGAGGGAGTGGGGCGGGGAAGGCCAGAAGCCTGGCTGCCTGCCCGTATCTAACTTCCCTCTCCTATCCTTGCAGCTGGCCCTGGAGGAGAGCTCCTGGGCTATCTGGAGGCCTCCTGCAGTGGTCCCCAAGGCATCTTCCTTCCCCCCTCGCCCCTAGCCAGAGGTCACCTCAAACAGCAGCTGAGGCAGTGGGGCTGGGACTGACGACCTCTCAGAACCCACATGCAGTGCAAAGTATGTTGGCACTGGAGTCTCAGGGCCTGTATTCAAATCCTTGCCTCTGTGAGCCCAGACTAGTCTCAACGTGTCTGGGTCTCAGTTTCCTCCTTTATAAAATGATATATTATAAATGGGCCCTTTTCCTAGTTCTATGTCCATGATCCAATCTGCTGTGAGGACCAAGTCTTTGGGCCTTAATTTCTTTCTCTAGAAAGACAAGGTGGAGCTATAAAAATGTGCATACTCCTTGACCTAGCAATACCACTTCTAGGGCTGTATCCCAAAGAGATCATACAAATGGGAAAAGGACCCACATGTACAAAAATATTCATAGCAGCTCTTTTTGTGGTGGCAAAGAATTGGAAACTGAGAGGATGCCCATCCATTGGGGAATGGCTGAGCAAGTTGTGGTATATGAATGTAATGGAATACTATTGTGCTATAAGAAATGATGAACAGGCTGACTTCAGAAAAACCTGGAAAGACTTGTATGGACTGATGTTAAGTGAAGTGAACAGAAACAGGATAATGTTGTACACAGTAACAGCCATGTTATGTGATGACTAATACTGATAGACTTAACCCTTCCCAGCAACACAAGGATCTAAGATATCTCCAAAGGCCTCGTGATGGAAAATGCTGTCCACATCCAAAGAAAGAATTATGGAATTTGAATGCAGATCAAAGCATACTATTTGCTATTTTTTTTCTTCTTTTGAGTTTTGTTTCCTCTTCCTGGTGGTTCCTCCTATTGGTTCTAATTCTTCCTTACAACATGACTAATGTGAAAATATGTTTAATAGGAATGTATATGTAGAGCCTATATTAGATTGTGCACCATCTTGGGGAGGAAGGGAAGGAGGGGGAGAAAAATTTAAAACTCAAAAGCACATGGAAGTGATAGTTGATAAATCAAAATAAATTAATAAAAATAAATACATAAAGAAAGAAAGAAAGACACGGTGGTCGCTAAGACCCCTTTCAGCTTTAATCTCTAATCCTGTGAGCTCTCAAGCCCTGGGCACTGGTCTGTCATTCCCTCTGCCCCCTCGCCACCTCAATGCCTGAGCCTCCCCAAGGCCTTCAGCCCCTCTCCTCCCTTCCTCCACACGGACACACCTGCATCATTCTCTCTTCGATCAACCTCATCATAGACGTCCATGGCCAGCTCTTCAAACAGTCGGTTGCTCAGCTGTAGGCAAAGAGAGGGCCCCAGGCTAGAGGGGGCAGAAGGGAGCCCCACCTCCTAACCCAGAGAGTTTAACTAGGAACCTGCCACCTGGCAAGGAGGGAGTAGACTAGATGAGGGAAAGCAAACCTCCTGCCTGGCAGGCATCTTTCCCAGATGCCCTGCAACCCTACTCTGGCAGACTCCATGGTAGTCCTGCCCTGGCATCTGCCCACTGGGCCTTGGGGGGGGTCTGGGTAACTAACTAACTGCTAAGATGGAGGAGGGATGAGGACAAAGAGGGGCATTAGAACCATCACTAGTGGGAGGAGAGGGTGAGGGGGAAAGTACACAGCCAGGAAGTTGAGGATGGTGAAAAGGGCAGGGCTGTGTTTAGAAAAGAGGCCTAGAGAAATAGCTGGGCACAAAAGGAAAGGGAAAAGGTCAGAAAGAAGAGAGGACTCCCAGTTTTGGAGATGCAGGCCATGGGGATGGGGAGCTCAGTAAGCAGGGCCATGGAAGGCTGAGATGGAGAGGACACAGCAGGGCCAGGCCTGGTCATCACTCACGGCTTGAAGTTTCTTCTTTGCTGCCTTTGCCAGCTCTGAGAGGTCCAGGCTTCAAGTTGGAAGGTGGCGGATGGACATTAGGTTGGGGAGAGAAGGGAAGGAAGATAGTTAAGGTACAGCCAGGTGCCCTTCCCCCTGCCATTGACTTTTCCCACATGCAGGTGCCCTGGCAGAAGTGTGGGAGGCCAGGATTCCAGGGAAGGGGGAACCCCAAATACTTTCCTCACCCTTCCACCCAGTCCCTTGCAAGATGCCTGGCCCATGGGCACAATACCTCTGAGACATGCACTTTTGGCGAGATCTAAGTCCAGAGGAAGGCAGCAGAGGAAAGAACAGGACAGAGGCGGTGGTTACCCGAGCGCAGGACAGAGCTGGAGGACGTATGCTTCTCCCATCACACACACACACACACACACACACACACACACGTGCATATCCACTTTACCCCTACCCCCAACACAGAGCTGAGACAGGAGCAGTGAGTAAGATGCGGTAGAGAAAGGGAATCCACCAAGGAGCCCATGGACGCCCCATCCAGGGCAAGCAGGGGGTGCCACTCTCATACACTGAGCTCAGTGCCAGGGTGCTCACATTTGAACAAAAGAATGAAAAAAACCACACCCCCTCATGTCGTGACGGGATATTTTGGGGAAAGATTCCTGTGACAGGGAAGCCCAGGACAACAAAGCCCTAGTCGGCAAACAAGGCACCCTCCTCCCCTTTTCAGGCTCAGCTGCTGACGCCAGTGTGGTAGGGTATGCTGCTATTTTGAAAGTAGCCACAAGAGGGCAGGAACGTCCTCCTTGTGGGCTCGGAAGCAGCCCAGGGGAAGACATGAGCATGGAGCATCTGAGGGGCATCTTGACCACCAGTGACTGGTCCGTGCCCGGTGGGCGGAGAAGAGAGGCTTCTGGGAGCAAATGGAAAGAATCCCACAGACGTTGAGGCCTTCTCCTGACACTGGGACAAGGCAGGAAGAGCCCGATGTGGGGAGAAGCTTCTAGGTTACGAAGAGATGGGATGGAATGTCAGAGCCAGAGCAGGGCTAGGAGAGCGTCACATTGGAGAGAAGGGACCCCAGAGGCCAGCGAGCCTGACCCCTTCACGCTACAGATGAGGAAATGGAGGCCCAGAAAAAGAGGTGACTTGTCCAAGGTCACACACAGGCCACAGGCTCATAGATCCGGAGCAGGAATACATAATAATAGTGACAATAACGATGATGATGACGGCGAGCACGTACTCAGGGCTTTAAGGTGTGCAAAGCACTTTACATACGCTAACTCACCGGATCCTCACGACAACCCTGTGGGGTAGGTGCCAGTATCACCCCCATTTTACAGGTAAAGAAATTGAGGTAAACAGAGGTCAAATGACTCTCCCAGCATCACCCAGCTAATAAGGGTCTGAGGGTGGATTTGAACATAGGTCTTCCTGACTCCAGCTCTGGCGCTATCCACTGTGCCACCAAGCTGACCTCAGAGGCCATCTCGCCCAACCTCTTCATTTTACAGATAAGGACGCTGAGGTCCAGGGAGATTAAGTGATTAGTCCGATGTCATTCAGATAGTAATTATGCCCCAAAGGTGGGATTTGAACCCAGGTCCTCAGACTCTCCAGCCAGGGCTCTTTCTGCTATACCAAGATGCCTCATCTAGGCAACCTAGTCCATAGGGGGCTGAAAGAGAGCGAGTGATTTGCCCCTGGTGGGGCGACAGTGAGTCGGCAAAGCTGGACCTGACTTACCTCTCAGGCTGCTGCCCAGGAACGACTCAAATTTTCAGAGCATTTTCGGGTCTGAATAGCCCTTTACATATATTATCTCATATACTGCATATCACAGATTATCTAATTATGCATCTATAGGGGCAGCTAGGTGGCTCAGTGGAGAGAGCGCTGAGACTGAAGTCAGAAGACCTGAGTTCAAATCCAGCCTCAGACACTTAACTAGCTGTGTGAGGAAAGCACTTAACTTCTCTTTGCCTCAGTTTCTTCAACTGTAAAATGGAGGTAACACCTATTTCCCAGGATTGTTGTGAGGATCCAATGAGATAGACAATGAATTAAAACCCATAGGTTCTAGTCTATAGGTCTCAGGACTCCCCCCTGCATAAGTCCTTTGGACCTCATGGGACCTGCTGGGCCTGAGCTTCCTCCTGTGTAAGAGGCAGGATCCGGGGGCAAGGGAGTACCCAGCCTCCTCCAAGAGGGTGGCCCTTCTCCCAGATAGGGGGAGGGGGGTGACACTCACCTGTCAGCCATCTGTGGGATGATATAATGCCCATTCTTGTGATCTGAGCAAAACCAGAAATGCCAAGTCACCAGTGCGGGAGGGGACAACTGGCCCTGGGCCCACCTCCTGGACTCCCATATCTCAGCCCTGGGTGCTAAGCTCTGGGGGGCCCAACAGGCCAAGGGGAAGGAGGAGAGGTGAGCCCTGAGGCTGGAGATAAGGAGGATGGGGTAGGGGAAAGGTGAAGAAGCTTCAGCAGTTGCTGAGGCCCTGGGCATACCGATATACCACTCTGCTGTGCTGCTCTCCCCGCCCTCCCCGCCAACCTTCAGCCCTGCTCCTCCCAGGGAGCCTGGACCCAAGGCGATTTCACAGGAGCTGGTCGCTGGGCAACGCTGCTCCCCAGCTGGCTCTGTTGCTATGGAGCCAGCTGCTGGGGCAAGGACCAGGGAGGGCATCCCCCAACCTGCACCACCCCAGACTCACCCGGCTTACGTCCACATAGGTAGAAAGCCAGACGGTCAGTCAGCTCGTATTGGCACTCTACCAGCCTTTCTGCCAGCTCCTGGTGCCCAGCCTGCCTGTAGAGGGGGTACACGGAGAGCACAGCTCAGGGCAGAGCCTCCGGCACCGGCCCGGAATCCTCCCTCTCCTCCCAAACGCCCTTTCTGCAGGGCCCTCTAGCCCCGGGCACTCACCTGGCATAGTCAATAGGAGTCCTTCCATTGATGTCAGGGGCCCCTGGGTCAGCCCCATACACCACCAGCAGCTCCGCCTGAAGCGTCTGCCCAGCCTTGGCCGCCACATGCAGAGGGGTTGTGCCCTTCTCGGGATGGAAGAAGTTAGCCTGGGCACCCAGGGACAGCAGGCGCAAACAGGTTTCCAGATTGCCAGTCCTTACACTGGAGTGTAATTGCTACCCAGTGGGGAGAGAAAAGATTCAGGGGACTCTGGGTTCAGGTTCTGGACCAACTCTTTACACCCATCCCTAGGGCGGGACAACCCCGAAGGGCAAACCTATTCTGTCCACCCTCCAACACAGGGCCCCTGGAAAGGATGAGGAGCCAGGTAACTGTGCCTGCTGGGGGAGGGGAACGTGAGCGGGCAAACGGAGCTCAGTGAGGACCAGCCACAGGTGCGAGGGCACACTCTCAACCCTGCCAGCCACCTTGCTGAGACTAGCAGGAAAAATAAACCCTCAAGCTCCATCCTCCTCACCTTGCTGAGGTCCTTGGCGGTGACGCCATCGTCATCCCGACACGGTAGTTTATGAACAAATGCCAACATCTGGTACTTGGCTCTGATGAATTCCGACTTGACGGGGCTGGCGACATCAGGGATGGGAGGAGGAAGAAGGGAGGGGGAGCCAGTGAGGACAGAGCCCGAGCCCACGGCCCGCTCCTCGGCCAATTCAAGTCCCCGGCCCCCCTCCGCCCACGCTCCCCGCCCCCTCCCGCCCCCCCTCGACTCCCACGCTCACTGGACTTTGTCCTGAGGGTTGGCCTTTCGCCGTCCGCTCTGCACCTGAGCAGGATCCAAAAGGGAATGCTCCCAGATGGAATTGGCCCCATTGCTGGCAAGGGTGTGTACCATCTGGGGGGAGAAAAAGAGCTAAGTTAGGCCGCTGCCCAGGCTGGCGCCAGGGACAAAAGACCAGCGTTCAGATCCTGCCTATGTGACCTTGGGCAAGTCACTCAGCCCACCTGGGCCTCAGTAGACTGAATGGCCCCTCAGGTCCTTTCCAGTTCTGCATCTATGATTCTAGGATTGGACACGCCCAGGAGGAGGGTCCCAGGAAACAGGGGGGTGGGCCCATGTTCACTGAGAATTTTCCTGCAGGGGTAAGGAGCGAGGTCCCTGGCACACCTGCTCAGGGGGCATAGCTCTTCAAGAATTAAGGGTGCAAGGGGCAGCTAGGTGGCGCAGTGGGCAGAGCACCAGCCCTGAATTCAGGCAGACCTGAGTTCAAATCCGGACTCAGACACATAACACTCTCTAGCAAGTCACTTAACCCCACTGCCTAGCCAAAAATAAATAAATTTGAAAAACAAGAAGAATTAAGGGCCCGTAGCCCAATGTAGCCCATTCCAGCATCCACCCCATGACTTCCCTCTGACCTAACTCTAATGTCCCCTCCCCCTACTTCCTTGCCTCAGAGGTACCCTCACCTGCAGCAAGGTGGGAGGCCAGGAGCTGTGTCGGAGGTGTTTGACGATGGAGATGTGCCGGCCCAGGCTCCGGTGGACGCTACAACACTCATCACAGATCAGCACCCCCCGGTTGATGGAGGCCCAACCAGGATCTGTGGTTTCCAGAAGTGGTGGTGACAGAGGAAAAAAACCCAAGAGAAGGGAAGGAAGAAGTCATCCCGAGAGCCCAGTGCCCTTTCTTAGCCGGCTCCCCTCTCCCACCATCCTGGGTCACCGCCAACTAGGGCTAGGAAGCAAGGACTTGGATGCCCAAACCCCATCCTTGCAGCCCCCTGGTAGGCTCAGGCTGGACAGTCAATCAATCAGCCTTTATTAAGGGCCCAGCATTTAGGGCTTCTGAGACTGCACCTTCTTTTTTTGTTTTTTGAGGTAATGGGGCTAAGCGACTTGCCCAGAATCACACAGCTAGTGAGTGTTATGTGTCTGAGGCCGGATTTGAACCCAGGTCCTCCTGACTCCAGGGCTGGAGCTCTATCCATTGTGAGATACCTAGCTGCCCCTACCTTAGCACTTCTTAAACTGTGGGTCGTGACCCTAATGCTGGGTGACCCCATATGGGATGACATGGTAGATAAGAGTGGGGATTCACAGCCAGAAAGTCCAGACATCCCGGCCCAACTGTGACCCATACTAGCCATCCAACCTCAGGCAAGACTCACTGTTAGGTGGTAGAAACACCACAATACAAAAATAAAACCACTCAGCCCTCAAGCTTATACTCTGTTGAAAACAACGTGTATAAGTCAATATAAAACACACACAATGTAAATACAAAGGAATTATTGGGGGGGGGAGGTCCAAGTGGTTGGGAAGGTGAATCAAGAAAAATCCTTACGAAGGAGGCAGGTGTTTTAGCCCTGGGACATTTTGAGCTGGGCTCTTCTTGGGACCTCAGTCCTCTCAGATCTTGTCAAGATGGGCTAATGATGATCCCACTTTCCAGACCCCAGCTCTTCCCTCTTCCCTGTCCCCCCACCCAGCAGAATACGTCAATTCTCCCCAAAACTTCCCCAGGAGTGACTGAAGCGAAGGTGTGGGTGGGATGGGCACTCAGGCAAGCTTCCTCCCCTGACATCCCTACAACCTTTGTGCTTCCTACAGTGCCTGGCACACAGTAGGTACTTAATAAATGTCTGCTGATTGACTGGATTAATCTCAAAAGATATTGAGGGCCCTCTTCCCAGCGCCCTGCTGATGCCAATTCTTTGAGTTAACCTCCCGGAGGTATGCCCTCCATGGCACCTTTGCCTTGCCCTGCTCTTTTTAAGTTAGCAGCAGCATGTGGTACAAAAGAGAATCCTGGATGGGAAGTCAGGAACCCTGGGTGTCCAGCTCTGGTTCAGCCACAGCCTGGCTGAGGGGCCCTGGAGAAGCCCCTCCCCCACAGCTTCCTTCTCTGTAATAAAGAGGGGGGTTGTGTGGGCTGATCCCTCCCAGCTCTGGCATCATAGGAGAGAAGCCCCCTCCCCTCTCCTGCTAGTTCCCACTGGGCCTCTGGGGCCTTTCCTGAACTCCTAAGTGAAATGATTAATGAATGCCAATGAACGTCCTCCAAAGTAAGGCCAGAGTCCATCCACTTATCCAGTCTACTCAACATCCCCCTTTGTCTTCTCAGTGGCCTCAGGGGGCTTCTCCCTCTGAGGAGAGATGGGGGAGGAGGAGCCAGCAATCTTGCTCCCCAGTGGTCCCCTTCCTGCCCCTCCCTTGCCAGAGCCCCGATGGGTAAGTACAGACCTCTCCTAGAAGCATCCCCACCCAGTACACCCTCCTGACCCCACACCATGAGCAACGCCCCAAAATGGAGCTCGGGATTTTGGTGGGGCACACCTTCCATTTTCCCCAATGTTTTATTAATGTCTTTTGTTTTTCTGTCAGTCATTTCCGGACATTCTCTTTCCCCACCCTCACCTCCAGTGAGCCTTCCCTAGTAAAAAAAAACAATTAAGCAAACTCAACATAGCAACCACATCTGACTACATACATGGCATTCCCCACCTCTCCTTTCCAGGGAATGGAATTGGGATATGAATTGAGGCGTCTTGATACTTCTGGGGAACCCTCTGCTTTCAGATAGACTCTGACCCAGCAAGAGCAACAGCAACTGTTGCAAATAGACCCTCCACAAGGCACCCTCTACTCCCCCGCCCCTGGTAGCGGCTGGTACACCTTAACCAAGGTGGATTGCTCCCATAGGCCAGGAGGCCTGGAAGCAGGGAGGGCTTCTGCTCAGGAAGGGGCCTGGGGCGGTCACTCCACTGGGACACACAAACACCTCACGCTCCTCCCTTTCTCTCTCTCTGGAACAGACGTGAAGCTGTCACCTCACCTCCAGCTCATCCTTCCGCTCTGCCAAGTTCGGAGGCACCAGCCTTCCCCTCCCCCACCAGGGCCTGGCCCCCTTCCCCTCCCCTCCTCCACCCACTCCCACACCTCGGGCATGCATGGAACAACTGGTACAAATCCAGGACTTATTATCTATGATCTTGACTTACTATCTGTGTGACTTTGGGCAAGGCCTAGCCATGCCTCCGTTTCCTCATCTGTCAAATGAGCTGGCCTCTGAGGTCCCAGCTCTAGCTCTAGAATCCAGAGGGTTACACAGCTCAGGTGCTAAGTCTAGTCCCACCCAGCGCAAACACCACGCCAAAGCCCCTGGTGTCTAAGGCGGGATCCCACTGGCCTGGAAGTAGGTGAATTAGAGACACACCCCTCATCCCCTAGTGTCAGAGAAGAGTCCCCATGGCCCACAAGCAGCATGGAGTAGTGAAGTACTGGGCTTCAAGCTGAGAGGCCTTGGTTTCAAATCTTGTCTCAAACACGAAGCTGCACGACCCTTGGTAAGCTGCAACTCCTCTGAGCCTCAGTTCCTCATCTATAAAATGGCCTCTCAGGGCTCTTCCAGTTCTGTTTCTTTATTCTATGGCTTCCTGCCCACAATCCCACATCCCAGAGAGTTCAAGGGTCTCTACTGGAGCAGGAAAAACAAAAGGAGATAATGGCAGCTGAGTGAGTCATGCTGTGCATTGCAGTACCAGGCACTGTGCTGAGACCTGGGGGCACAACGGACCAATGAGCATTTATTAAAGACCTACTGTGTGCCAGGCACTATGCTTGGGTACAACTGATCGACAAACATTAAAGACCTACTGTGTGCCAGGTACTATGCTTGGGTACAACGGATCGACAAACATTTAATAAAAACCTACTGTGTGCCAGGTACTATGCTTGGGTACAACTGATCGACAAACATTAAAGACCTACTGTGTGCCAGGTACTATGCTTGGGTACAACGGATGGACAAACATTTATTAAAGACCTACTGGGTGCCAGGTACAATGCTTGGGTACAACAGATCAACAAACATTTATTAAAGACCTACTGTGTGCCAGGTACTATGCTTGGGTACAACAGATCGACAAACATTTATTAAAGACCTACTGTGTGCTGGGTACTATGCTCATACCTGGGGACACAATCAACCAATAAGCACCTATGAGAAACCTACTGTGTGCCAGGCACTGTGGAGGGAATGGAGAATATCAAGACCCAGGTGAAATAGTGCTTGCCCTCCAAGAGTTTATACTCTTATCAGGGAAGCCGAGTCCACACATTAGGTTCCAATCCTTTGCCCAGCTCATGGGTATCTAGGTCGCTGGTAGTGGGCAGGAAGCAACCTCTTGTGTAGGGGGTCTTGGGTGGAAGTCATGGGATCACTCTGCTATCTCCCTCATTACCTCTCCCAGTGATCCTGGCCCCCAAGGCCCAGCATAGAAACATGGCTCAGGATGAGAGAGGAGGAAACGCTGGTCTGGGGCCAGAGGGTGGGGAGTGATGTCGCCTCAGAGAAGGCTGCCATGTGGGACCCCTTCTCTGGCCTAGGCCTCCCCACACACTCCCGGACAAAGCATCCATCAGCCGTAAGGACAGTTCACACTCCAGAACTGAGAAGCCCTTCCACAGCCTCTCATCTGACTTCAGCCATGGCACCTCCCTCTCCATCTACCTCTGCCTCCCCCTCAGGAGCTTCTGGGACCCCTCACAGGGGCTGAGGTCCCGGAAGTAAATCCAACCAGGGATCTGAGGGGGCTATCGACAAAAATGTAAGACACGCCAGTATTGGCATCCCCAGAGGTCGTGCTGGTGGGAGGGGTGGGGGTACCCCCTACTTCCCTTTCCAAAGAAGGCCTTCCCAGGCCCTGAGGGAGTGGGGGTAGGGCCAGCTGCACTGAACACAAGCTGAGAAAAGGTCACAGGGGAGAAAGCCACTATTGTGTGCCTGCCCAGAGGAGAGGCAGCGCCTCTCTTGTCCCCTCTCCCCCTCCCTGCTCAGGGTCACCCAACTCTACCCCTGCCCCTCCCCCAGGCAGAGAGCCAATGCCACCCCCCCCCCCCAGCCAAGATGCCCATCAGGGGAGGCTGTATCCTGTCCCTTCTTCCTCTGACTCAGCCATCTCTGAGTGGCTTGGTTAGAGCCTCAGTCCTTCTGCATCTCAATGGGGTAACTAACTACCCAGAAGACAGCAGAACCAGGGAGCCAGTGGGGAGGGGAGACAGGGAAGAGTAGCTCTTACAGTAAGGGACAGTGTGTTGTGATGGATAGAGAGCAAGCCTCTGTGTTAGAAAGACCTGGGTTCGAGTGTTGGTTTTGACACCACCTGGCTGTGTGCCCCTGGTCATCCCTAACCTCTCAATGATGAAAGCTGCCAGGTGAGCACCAACAGACCGGGGCAGAGGGAGCTGCTCCCTACACCAGGGAAATCAGCCCCATTCAGATGAAAAAGCAAAACCACATGTCCCATACTAATGAATCAGCCCTCACATCGCTACTTACAGGTGCTCGAGGATCAAAGCGTAGATTTTGAGTCAGATGGCATCTTAGCCTCTTTTTACAGAAAAGGAAACTGAGGCCCCAGGAAGGGAAGTGATCTGCCAAGAATCACACAGCCAAGAAACAGTACAGCTGAGACTCGAACCCAGGTCATCACACAGTAGGGTGTGATCACACAGGAAAACCCAGGTTTTTCTGACTCCCAGTCCAGTCCTTCATGCTGCCAGATGAAGGCAAATGTTATCACCCCCACTTTACAGATAA